ACCCTAGGACACAGATTGTACCTATATTTCCTTTAAAAATAAAAAAATCTTTATTTTATTAAACTATTTAAATTGAAATTAGTTCTGTAAGTTACAACAAGTGAAAATGAGTATACTTTGTATTCAATACCTTTATTATTACATTCATAACTTCATAACTTATACTATACATACAATACACGGTTTACTGATTAGGTGAGCTTTAATAATATCCCATTGCAAAAATTGAATATTACGTTTTTAAATTATTTTCAAGGAAGTTATAAACATTAAAATGTTTTAAGAACTTGAACATGTAGAAAATTAAAACATTAATATAATAAATTGATACTCGTATTATTATTTTTGAACATAATACCTAATATTTTTTTATCGGACTAGTGAAGTAGCGAAACTACTAAACTAGTATGTACATTTTACGTATAAACGCATTAAGTCTATTTACCAGTAATATGTAAGCTTGTTCAGTTTATCACTTGATCACGTATTGAAACTATATTATTATTACAGGTAAAATATATAATATAATAAATGTACGCTTCCGAAAACTTCATAGTTTATATGTACATCCGGTAATGAACTAATATTTCTCATAAGCACCACCAAAGTTCTGACCTAAATCTAAAATGTATACAATATTGTGTATTATTATTTATTATGTATAGCCGTATAGGTACTATGAAACTACCTTATCATAAATTAAATACACTCACATGTCTCATTTTTCGAAAAATCTTTGAAAAACATTAACAATTTAAGTAAAATTAAAGGTTATATTTTGGTTATTTTATATTGTCATTGAGGAGACTAAAAAGATAGAAATATTAGAACTAATTACATTAAGAATTTTGTTGACGTGGTGTAATTTACAAAAATATTGACTAAATGCTTGCGGTAGGCCTGTATGTATTGTATTATAATTATAATTATTACTATTCTATTGCACTTCAAAACAGGTGTGTACTGTACAGCGTTTACATTTTGTGTTCAGTAACATAGTCATAATATTATTGTAACCCGAAAATGACCCATGACGGTGGTGTAGCTGTATTGCCTATCCATATAGCCGTGTTACTATAAATTTGTTATTAAAATCATATAAGTATATAACGTAGAAAAATAATAATGATATCTTAAAATCATAGCAACGACAAATTATATGATGTTTATTGTGTATGTAGTGATGTTAGCTTCAATATAAATTATTATAAAGGTAGGTACTGAAAAATAAAACCACGAAATGTCAAGAAAAATATTGTTTATAATCAAGCAGAATAAGAATAGTATACTTTTATTTCATTTTTCCACCGACAGCAGAGGAGACTGTTTGAACAAAACTACTCCTCTGCTGTTGTCATCGTTTATTGATCAATAAAATTAATTTATAGATTCACGCTATACTTGAATATTATTACACTAAAATCATATAACATCATATATCTTACATCAAAATTTCATTTATTCGTGTTTAATATTGTAGATGTTAATTTTCAACTCACGCTAGACACAATGTCCAAATGTAATAAATTTATTTATTATTTTTATAAACTTAACAGTTTTTCTGCAAAATAGATTATTATTATAAAACAGATAATATATTGTATACTTACTAAACGATATCAGAATATCACATAAGCGTGTATGCCCGACTCCTCGCATGGTGCTAAGATGAGGGCAGAATGGCTTTAGAACCCTCTAAGAATGATCTAGTTCCCTCAACCCACACATTGAAAAACGTAACAGAACACCACATATTATTTTTCTAAGAATTAAATTATTAATTTTTAAATAATGATTATTGTTTTTTACGATTTCAACAATATATACTATATGATTTGTAAAATAAGAATAAATATCTTATCAATCTATCATCGCATTTATTAAATACTAAGTATTAATAACTTAGTAGAAACAAAGATTGCATTGCATTTCACTATTTAAGTCAGTAAAATTCATTTGCTCAATGCTAAAAAAACTATTATATAGCATTATAGCCATATAATATGTAGTATTCTTAAAAATTTGTTGATTAATCGAAAGTTTATTTATACTATCTATATTTAAAACTTAGAATATACTCAGAACTACTAAGTGTTATAAAAAGTTTAATGTGTGCTACTATACCTATAAATTATGTTAAAATAAATTAAATTATTTTTCTGAGTAATCACTCTAGTTTTCGACAAATAACTTATATGTCCGACTGCAGATTTGGTGGCTATTTCACTATATTCTATGTTCGCTACGTAGAAGTGGTAAGATGTGCCCAAATACATTTTTACGTTTTGCTAGTTATGTTTTAAAAATTTATTGCCCACCTCGTGAGCCATGACTACTCATCAGTAGCTAATCTACTTGGTCTTTCCTCGTTGGCTAATCGAAGACGAACTACACGTAATAAATTCATTTAAGCATTGTTAAACGGCAAAGTTGAATCCTCCACTGATCTTGTTTCGCTAATATGCTTTAAGGGACCTCAGAGTTTCACTAGATCTACCTCTCCTTTTTATGCCCTCATGTCACCACAAACTATTTAACTAATAGACCAATAAGAAGGTTGATGGTAAACTATAAATTATAATGTAGAACCTCATATTTTAGTTTAAAAACTTTTTTGCTCTATTTATTTTATTTTATTTTATTTTGTTGCATGTATTTAATTACTTTTAAGTTTTAATTGTGCATTATGCAAAAAAGGGCTTCGCTCGTAAAATAAATAAATAACAGCTGTATTATCCGACTTTGCATCAGAAAAAATGAAGAAATATAAAACACAGCGCACAGGCAATAGTCGTTGTCGGACCAGTGTACCTCGATCGCTTGTGAACAAATCCAACCGATATGGTCAATATGCAGTGGATTGGATACAGCACTTGCCACTTGGTGTAAAAATTTAGTCATTTGTCAATTTAAGTGAAATATTTTCATGATAATATCAGTTTTGGTTTCATATGGTCGTCATTATAATCCTGTAGAAAATTTGTTTAATAAGTTACTGAAAACGGATAGATGTCGTTACCACTACAACCCATAGGTGTATTAAATATAATATTTGTATTTCAAGTTATTTATTCGTAAGTAAAATTCATTTTTGCAAAAACATTTCATTTGATATAGGCACTTTAAAAGTTTTAAGTGCCCAAGAATAATATTTTTTAATTACAACAATATATCAAAACTCGTTATGTTTTGTTTAAATATCAGATTTTGTCTTAATTTGAACTTAAATTATCTATACACAAAATGTGTACACATAAAAGATTTTAGATTTTTCGGTTACAGTTTAAACACTAAAAAGAAATCTTGTTGTAAATTGCCAATCGTTTGACCTTAGCTGAGAAAATTGAACATTTTAAACTACAAAATTATTTACAAATGTTCGTGACTGATAAAATTTGTCCACATTTTGACTTTAAATGTTTATAAAAAAAAAAATCATGCATATGTATTTTAAATATTTTTGAACTGCTATTATAAAAACTTATGAGGAACCTTGATTTAAATTTTCAAATGTTAGAATAAAAACAAAAACAAAAAAAATTCAAAATGTCAACCGTCTATAAATAGCTCAAAAAGTCAAAATATTTTGAAAATTATACCGTGTATGGAAAATACAAATTAAATCATTTGGTGAAAATATCATATACAGTAATTCATTCTTTAATTAAAAAAAATTGTTAAATGAGGAATCGTTAGTTTACGAGTGGAATATCTTATGTCGAAATGTTTTGAACTTCAACACTCATAAAAAATGTATTGTTTGACTTTCCGGTAAACTTTTTTTTGTTCAAGGTGGGAAAACTTATTAGGAATCTTGAATTAAATTTTTTTTATCATATAAATAATATAATTGCTCAGAATAAAATACTATAGAATACTATAATTATTATTACTATTAATTGAAGAACTAATATTATACAATTGACAAAACTTAATATAAATAATTTGAATTTTTTCTCTAGATTCTACGAATACTTAATGTATATATGTATCACAAAGCTGGAACTGAATAGACGTATTTGTCTACATAATATGATAAACGAGTTTAAATTCCATACGTCCCATGCCCCTTCCCCGTTCACCTTCAATACCAATACCACTCCTACACTGCTTCCTACAAAGTAACTCACCATACAGATCATGTGTGTGCGTCACATACCGACGCGTGACGACTATCATCAAATCAACGATTGTAATGTCGTCGTCGTCGTTGTTGCTATAAACACACTAACCGGAAGAGAAATGACGCACCAGTCTGCGTGCGTGTGACCATCTCCCTCACTACTATCCGACCACAAAGGCATATTGAGTGACTGATATACCATAATATTGCGTACGGTTTTTGTTCGGTGACCGATCGCGAGATATTCACTATAATTAATTTTTTTTGACTGCCCCTCTCCCACCACCCGAAATATGAATTTATTACTTATGTACCTATACAGCCATTGTCCAGACCTCCTCGAGCTCTCGATTAAGCGACAAAAAATCAACATTTTGTTCTTAATAATTTATTATCCGTGGAGGAAACGTGGTGTAGAGTGTAGGTATGACACTTAAACCTGAAAATCACAATCATTGTTATCACCATAGTAATTAGTAATATTATAGATGATTATAGTTTTCTGAACATCAGCAGCTATACGCTAACAAATCGTTCGCATACAGCAGTGGTTAGTAGTATCATATCACCACCACAACCACTGGTCTCCATAAGTACGTAACTATAGCAACTAAACTTCTTTTTTATGTAAATTAATTTACGTCAGAATTTCTCTTGACCAAAGGTTATATGACAATAACAAAACACATAATACAAAATATATAATTCGTAGGTCATAAATAAGTACCCATCACAATAAATGATAATTAATAATAACGCGTTGATAATTATTAATGATTGTCATTAGAATAAATTTACAAAATCATTGATTATACATTAAATGATTCTCATTAGACAGTAATCAATTATCTATAATAAATAATAACAGTTCATCAATTTGGGTTATATGATACAAACAATAAAACTCAAAAGCCAGTTAAAAATAAATATTTTATTTAACCAATGTGACATCAAGATGATCCATAACATCTAGAACATTATTATATAAAGTATTTCTAGACTTGTCTATTTTATTAAGTTAATTGAACAACCATATGAAACTTTAAACATTGCACCTGCAGTTTACAACAATTATTAAAGAGGTTGACAATATATATATAATATAGGTATAAGTCTTTTTATCTAAACATATCATTTTGATTGTATAAATAATTATCATTATCTGCATGTCATACTATTCTTCATCATTTCAAAGCAGAGAAGAGTTCAACATTCATAAGCAATTGAAAGTACAATTTTGACTATACACAATTATTTTGTACTTTTGAAAGTCCAAAGACATAAAAAAAGGTCTTGAGGCATTTGAGTTGTTGTTCACTTAACATTGTATTAAAATTAATTGGTCTACAAATCAGTAATTATAAAAAAATAGAAATACAATTAAGCGTAAAAAAAGTTAGTTTAAAAAAATATCGGTTAGGTCTACTTTTAAAATTATTTTCGGCAGACAACAATTTACCTATTAATACTATAATTATTATTACTATTAATTGAAGAACTAATATTATACAATTGACAAAACTTAATATAAATAATTTGAATTTTTTCTCTAGATTCTACNAAAAAAGTTAGTTTAAAAAAATATCGGTTAGGTCTACTTTTAAAATTATTTTCGGCAGACAACAATTTACCTATTTCCGTAAATGGATACAATTTTTAATTTTTGGTTTATTAGCCTACCTACACATAAAGTTGTAAAATATTATTTTCTTATTATGGCTGGATTTAATTTAAACGTTAATAATAATTAATATGTATCTTAATAATATTATTAATCATCAAATAAGTAACTGGTGTTACAAGTGAATATTACGTTCAAGAAAAAGTATATATTAATCAACATAAAATGATACATAAAGAGGATTGTCAGAAGAATAAAAAAAAAAAATAAAAATAAAAATAAATTGGGTCGTTATTATAATAAACAAAAACAACCACAATTAATTATGGCGTATAAAAAACCTATTTATTTATTATTCAATGAATGCACATATTTTCTTGTAAAATATAAAATAAATTATTTATATATATATTTATAGATTAGTAAAAACAAAATAATTATTATTTCATTATTGTATCCATGCTAAATCATGATTTAAATTGTTTTATCTTAAATATTTTTATGACATAATTGTCGCACCTGTTTATTTATCCGCAGCCTTACAATATAACACACTTCCTCTTCTTTACTGGTTCAGGAGGCTCTAAAGCTGCAAGAATAGCTTCATCAAATACATTTTTTAGTCCTTTCTGTAAAAAATAGAATATAAGTATTAAAACTATTAAAATAATCTCAATTAAGTATGTCTTACAAAACAATAAATTGCAATAATGCATCAGACATAGCATAGGTATACATTTTTTTTAATGTAAAAACAGTGAAATAGAAGTATAAAAAAAATTAAATTTCTGACATAGTTTTCTATCATTAATAGATTGAATCTCACAAACGCATGTGTCTTGATTTAATCTAATCAAATATTTTCTTAGGAATGTAGAAAAAATTGTTATTGATTAAGTTTCCTACAACTATCAGATTCTGAGGAATATTTTAAGTAAACTTCATTAGCATTCTGCTATCAGCCATGTTATGTTAGTGGTAAATGATTATTAGATAAAGTTTATGAGTATAGTAAGCGTACAGGAAACAATTTTAGGCACTCATAAGCACATATCAAAAATCTATTCTATTTTTTCTTTCTAAAATGTTATGTTTAATTTTCTACTTAAATGGACTATCATATTTCAATAATATCTACATAACCATGTTTCTTCTGATTTTCATTCTAATTCTCCATAGTACTAACTTTTTAATAGGAACACTTCTGAATTCTGGACTATGTAAAAGCACTCTTTTTAAGGAGATTTTTTTCATAGTTTTAGAATAATTATTCAAATTGTAATTCAAATTGATTGGAATGATTTTAAACAAACCAACGTAGCCAATAATTTGTATTGAATCATATTATACATTGTCAGTACATACAAACCACTTTTATATAAATTTGAATATGTATTAATTGTTTTTTTACCAATCACAAATAATAATTATTGACTTCTAAAAACAGTTAACTACATAATTATTAAATACATAATCATAATCCCAATTCTTAAGTAAATCCTCTCTGAATATTAGACACAATTTTGGTGACAGTGTCTTCTATTCAGAGGTTTCAATATTAATTTTGCCATCAACTACATATATTAATCTAATCAAATCAAATTCAAATAAATATCAAGACTCTTATGTACTAACTTGTGTAAGTGCTGAGCATTCAACATATTTCACAGCTTTAAGTTCTTTAGCTAGCTTCTCTCCTTGTTCAAATGATATTGATTTTTGTTTATTTTTGGCTAGTTTCTCCACAGTTGTGGCATCTTCTCTAAGGTCTATTTGTGTGCCAACCAACAGGAATGGTGTTTTTTGACAGTGATGCGTTATCTCTGGAACCCACTGAGAAAAACATGTCGGTTATTATTGACTAACAACTTAGTAACATCAAAATATTTTTACTTTTTCTTTGACATTTTCAAATGAAGATGGTGAAACCACGGAAAAACAAACAAGAAACACATCAGTTTGTGGATAACTCAAAGGTCTGAGGCGATCATAATCTTCCTGACCTAATATTTATTAAATAAGCATAACAATTTAGAGAAACTAAATTGGAAAATTACTATTTTAATGTTAAAAAATTATTTTACCTGCTGTATCAAATAAACCTAATGTGTATGGCTCTCCACCAATCATAACTGTCACTGCATAATTGTCGAAAACCTTAAACAAAAATGTACTTGTTAACCATTTAAAAAAAATAACGTATCGTAACATAATTATCTGCATCAAAAACATTATTTGTCATTGTAGGTGGGTGATACCCTTAGTGTATAGAAAAAGATAAACATTGTTTGGGACACATGTTCTATTTCTATTATGAATTCCTATGTTGTATTATTATATTATACTAGATTTAAAAAATATTCATAAAACATAAAAATCAATTTAAAAAATGTATTAACAAAATAGATAAATGTAGGAATAAATAATATCAAATCAAACATTACATATTAAGATAAAAAGTTTAAAGGTCATATAATCATCGTAGTATACTAGATAGTAGATACCTACCTAATGTCTAATTAAGGATGCAACAATATACATGTTATATGCCTACTAATGGATAGGCACTAGGTAGTAGTTTCTTTTTTTTTGAATGTTTATTCATCGTATAATAACATTTAACTTACGTTTAGTTTTATTTATACTTATGGGAAGCAGATACTTCAACCAAAATATAAACAAATTGTAATGTACCTAATATTATAATTTATAGGTACACCTATACGCTAACAGTTGTTTGTTTTCATATTATTTATGTATGTAGCATATACTAAATGTATTCCTAATATAATTGAATGTACCTATACATGTAAATTTAAAAAATGATTAGGTATTTATCAGAAAAATAATGATACCTAGGTACCAATGGTACCTAGGTAGATACAAAATTTAAATTAAATATTTTGTTTACAATTATTTACTAATAGGTTTTTTTTGTTACCTACACCAAATACAAATTAGTAGATTTACCTACCTACTTATTGGAGTGAATTTTTTTATACAGTAGAAATCTGAAATTTGTAATTCTTATGTATAAAATCAAATACAATCAAATACAATATACCTAGGTAGAGATATAAGAAAAATAATTTGGTCAAAGGAAAATAATGGTATTTATAGATTATATCTACCCTAACACCATAGATTGATAGTAAAATATAGAGTACTTACAGTCGGAACATATTCTGAAGGAAACTTGTTTGTAGTGTACGATATGAGCAGACAAGTCTTACCGACAGCTCCATCACCAACAACAACGCACTTGATGGTCTGCATGTTTCCCCTATGGAAACACTCTTATGTGTATACTGAAACAAAACGAATATAGTTACAATAGGCCAACAAAACAGGAAGAAGGACACGAAGTCGATGTGCATACTACAATCATACACACACACACACACACAACTGTAGGCACATTGGACAAGACGATTACAGAGAATGCAACCATAGTACCATTATTAATATAATTGGTGGGTAATTTCTCCAAGTAGTCTCGGTTACCTTGTGAGTTAGCAGCACAGAGCACTCGGGAAGTGTTCTAGCTGGTCGTCGCAGCACTCGATGCTGCCCTGCAGCGATCTTCAACCCGTGTACGGAGCGTACCCGGCGAACTAACACACACGGACCTACGTCGGCAGAAAGAAAAGGCAGAGCGCAATCGTGAATAAAAAACCGAATTGAAAATAAAAATCAAAACATAAAACAAAAACACAAAACCGTGTACGAGACGCACAGGTACTACGCTACATATAATTCGGCTCGGCCGGCGAGTACTGTGGGTGTGGGTGGGTGGGGAGAGGACGAAATTAAAAAAAAAAAAACACTGCGCACGTACAGGAAGACCGCTAAAAAAGACGGCAACAAATTTTGCGTACACCTAAAAGCCAGACGATCTTTTATGCAGCACTTAATATACCGATGTAATGTGTCGTGTGTGACGGAATAACAAAAAATTTCGGGCGTCAACACAGATACACACACACTGACAGTCTGACACTGACACACGCACACGCGCACGCACGTACACAATCGCGCACGGATGGAATTCTCGTGCCACGTTGCCGCACTGTGCGGTTTTGGTTATGCGCCGCCGGCGGACCCGACTGCACGGGATGGAACGAAGTACGAGTACCCGAGTGGCCGAGTGGCGAGTACCGGAATACCGGACGGCCGCTAAGTTCTCCCAGCGCAGCGGCGGTTGATGAAGGTGATAATATTGATAAGTGTTGATGACTGAACATGTCTGATAAGGACATAAATAATATAATTTTAATCACGATCTTAGGAGACATCCTCTATTGAAGTCTATTCCTCAGACTATTTCCTCTAAGGCCCTGATTATGACATTCCTACTCTATGTTTTGATTCATTTAATACTAGTAATAATAGCCTGCATAATGCTGGATTGCATAATTCCATGAACAACTGTACAACACAGACATTAGACGTGAGCTAAGCTATGTCTTAGTTCGAAAATCGTGTTAGATTTAAAAGGACATCACATATTACTATATTAGACATTACATTATGTGGTCACTACTCACTGGTCACTTATAATATTTATAACGCTAAATGGATGAAATAATAGATTTCATCGACTCTGTGCCCATGAAATGTTTATGAAAAAGTGTTTATGTAATTAGCTTTATACAAACATTTGATCTCAATAATGAATCAGCACTTAACCATATTATACCTCCTATGAATTGAACCAATGGTCCCTGTAAAACCAGTGGGGGCGTGCGCTATTTATCTAGGACTATCAGAAGTGAATATTTACACATTGACATTGAATATATAATGTGAATTACCGTAAAATGTCCTGTTGCTAACAAAAAAATTCTTAATTCAGATAATTCAAAAATTGATGCAATTTTTTTGATTTAATGTTTTCTTAAATCTTAACGATAGTTGATAAATGATAATTAATAATTTTGAAAATAAAATACAATTTATATGGTAAATTGTATAGGTATTAGCATAAATATGTATAATCGTACCTATATAATAGTACTACTGGTACTCATGAAGTCATAACAGAAATTATCATAGTATTACCTATTAATACGATATAAAATATTGGGAATGTTTTTTTTTTTTTAATTGCTTGAAAATTTCAAATCATTGCTTATGATTTGGGATAATAAGCTTGTTCTTAATTTTTCTCATTGCACCTCATTTATAATGTTGAAATGTAAATAAAGCTTCAAAAGAATTTCCATTATTTTATATAGATGATAGCTTGTGTTATATATTGTTAGGAGTCATAACACAAAATAAATAATCGTTAACTTATGAACTAACTTAGGCAGACGCCTATCCATTAAAATATTTATATTTTCTAAGCAATTGAATTCAAAATAGTTGATAGCCAATAAGTATATAAAACAAAGTTGAGTTGTTTTAAACACTTGTTTAAAACATGTTTTTAGAACATCTAAATTAATCAAACATTATTTTGTTTAAAACGTTTATTACAAATGAATTAAACATTATAAAAAAAACAGTTGTTTAAAACAGAAAAATATAATTTATGTGCATATAAATTATAAGTTAATACTGGCAATTCCTTTTTATTATTTTTCTTTTGGTTTAATAAGCAAATTTATAATATTTATAATAATAATTTAGAAGATTTCTCTACACCCAACCGGTTTCTTAGTTTTGTATGAACTATATCATAAGTTGAAAATATTCTCTAAATGCCAGCTGATGAAGCACATGATGTGAACAGTTGCTTAACCATTTCATTCATTTCCTTCGTTAAGTTTTTTTTCCAATACTGTCCACCATGTCAGTGGTTTAATTTTTAAAACAACATTTTCATTGAACAGGTAAGATTTGAGAGGAAATCCCTGTGCTTGAAAGGTGATGATTTCAGCCATAATTTCTTGATGATACATACTTACATGATTCAGAGTATTATCAAATTGTTCCTAGATTAATTTTTCACCAATATATCGAGGGTCCAAAATATATGCTAAAAAATGGTCACTCATTGCCATTTCAAAACAATTTGTAAAAGTCTTCAACATTTTTGAACTACAAACTTCATTTTCAAAAAAGTTTTCAAATCTAACCAAATATGAGTAGCTTCACTAATTGTACAACAATCAGCTTGGATTTTGTCTAAGGACAAGGCAATTTTTTTCAATTTTACTAAATATTCTTCAGCAATATTTCTAGTTTCAGTATTTTTAATTTTGACAAAAAATTGAAAAATCAACTGTACTACGATTTTCATCACATATTTTGTATAGCAAATACCAATTATCCAGATAACATTGGATAGCATCTGCTAATGTGTTCCATCTTGATGCATAACCAATGTCTTACCACCTTCCACCTTCCATTCTATATTTAGTACCAAAGAAATGAGAGTTTCTAAAAAACCTAAATATATTATTTATATGAGATTTAATTCTAGGTGCTTCTATATCATGAGCTAATAAATTTAACAAGTGTGCTGAACACCTGTGTGTTATAATTTGTTTGTTTTGTAATTTTTCACTCAAAGCCAAATTTCTTCTCATTTTTTACATATTTCCAGCGTTATCTGTAACGACACTACTAACAACACATCCAAATTGTTCACAGATAGGTATTGCACTCTCTGTTATTGATACTAAATAATCCCACGTATGGCTATTAAATTTTGTTTTAAACTTGATTAAATCATGTTTAAAACAGTTTTTTTGATTATTTTAAAAAAATCATTTTTTTTTTATCAACTCTGATATAAAATTAGAAAACACAATTTTTATGTTAAATATAGATAGGTACTTTGAAAAAGTATTTAAAAAACTATAATCAAGTACATTTTTAATTTTGTGTTGATATTATAGACCTATAAACTTGTTTATTGGTCTATGCCCTATGGTTGATATCTATGGCTAATGATTAGCTGCTAATCCACATCTTTATTACCTAACAATGTGCAGAATATAATGAATAAAATATCTCATCATCATTTTTTAATTTAATTATAAATTGAGAAGCTATATTATAAACTTATTATATATTATAATCTTTTTCCCAAATGAGAATTACTCTTTTTTTCCAAAAATTTGATGCAGGAACATACATCAAAAATTGAAGTAGTAGTTTCTTAAGTTTATGCCTATATGTTAAAAAACATATTATGATGATATGATAGATGAAATATGGCAACTATTTCATGTTGTATGTAAGAACCATGCCATAAATCAGGGTTCAAAGATCAGCCATTAACTGATTGTTATTAAATCATTTTCATTCTAAGTATGTGTTAATCTATTATGAATACAGCTTAAAAAAACATTAAATATGTTGACACAATTAATTAAATAAGTAGAACTTTGGCTGTTTACATAGTTTTATAAAATTGTATTATCCCTAATAATTATACAAATAATGAATTAATAACATTGTTTTATAATATAAAACAATAAAAAGATAGAACTATACAAATAAATGTAAATTCAATAAAATACATTGATGACAATAGGACTTTCTTGACCAATGTTGGAGTATACAGTAAATAGATAGTTTATCTACAAACTCAACATTGTACATTTAAAAGAATATTCAACATAACAACGTACTAAAATACTTACAAATAAAATTTGGTACATTCCAAATAAATCAACTGCACATGAAGCGTGATGTTAAATTATTCTTATGAAACCTAACTTCCCTAATGCTTTATTTCTCTAAATTCCATTAAAAACTGTCTAACTAATTTTGCGGTTGATTATATTTTAAATAACTAATACAGTAAAAATAAATGAGTTTTCTTTAGTTTTTTAGAAATAAAAATTTTAATATTACAATTTAATGGATTATTGATGGTAAATAAAGAATTTTTTATTTCATAAACAACAATATATATACAGTATAAAAATATAGTTAATAATTGTACATTTGTTCATTTTTTAAATTTGAAACAATAAAGTCACTAATCACAATACAAGAATTTTTGATGGTTCACTTATGCGAGTAGTTGCTATATAGAAAAGGGTTGGTAAAGGAATGAGTAGCAATAAAGCATAATCAACTGGTGGATTTTCTAACTGAGTTATGGCTACAATACCAAATCCGTGACTGACCCAATGCACAGCTACAATCAGTATGTTTCTTGGCACACATACAGTGTTCAAAATCAAATACTTTGCAGACTATTAAATTGAAAATAGCATTATTTATTATTTTAATGAAACAGTTAAAATTGAATACCTGATTTATTTCTGTAGCAAAATGAATGGCACTCGATATTACAGAAACAACAATTACAATATAAGGAAATGTGACGTCTATAAAAAAAATATATAAATTAATTTAAATACCATACACATGTTTTAAATAAAATGTTTTTTAAAAATACTTACAAACAATACCTCCTAGGAATGCATGAATTAAAGCTGCTATGGGGAAAAAATATAATCCAGCATACATAGTTTTCAAATAAGCCCCTCTGTTAAGACTGAAGTAAGCAGACAGCAATGGACGTATTGTGAGCAAAACAATAATACAAGCCAAATAAAAAATAAAAATCATAGAATACCTGAAAATTGTTTATCATAAATAAAAATATGTCTTAAGCTAACATTTTAATACACATGGTGAATGTATTATTGAATTTATGAAACGTCATTGATAAACAGTTACAATAATTTGTAATTGTTGACATCAAATATAAATAAAAAAACATACAATGGATAGACAGCCTCTTGAGTACATCTTAGGGGTTCACGGTAATCTGGTGTTGGATTATACAAAACAGTATACCAATCAGATAGCCATTGTGTACGACAAGATCGAATCCATAGTTTACCAATAGGATCAACAACTAGGACTGCTGAAACTGCTGCAATAAATATTTCTAATATTGCTGATATATTTAGGACAATTTTCGTTTTTGTTTTTTTCTGAGAAATTCCACTGCAATAAAAATGTAATAATTAATTTGGCAGTCAAAATAAGAGACAAAAATATTAAAATTAAAACCATCATCAAAAAATAAACACCTTTTTCCTTTGTATGCCCATATTATTGATGACAAAGAAAGATCTATGTAAACGGCATGGAATAATAAAGGCACTGTCGCCATAAATAGGAGGTACATGAAATCATATGATGATGGAGAATCTGTGCATGGTTGACAAATATGAAATGAATTCACTCTTGTACCCGATGGACACGAACCGCAAGCACTTGTACGTCCATTACCTAAGTCTTGTCGACCACAATAGTACCCTGGGCACCTCGGTTCAAGTATATGGTCAATACTATTATGGTTCTAAAATTACAAAATCAAGAACCAACAAATATTAATGCATATTTGATGAAAAGATCTAGCATAATGTTGTATTGTATAATAATAAATTTAACTCACGTTAAAAAAATGCTGATAATATTCTCCCATTACAGCAGGGTTAAGAGAGAACAAATTTTATATGATCATGTTAAACGTAAGAACACAAACATTAACAATGTCGTTAAAATATATAGGTTTATTAACCATTATATTCAATATAATGTCACTTCAATCATTTAACAGAAAAAAATAATAAGGATTGTTTTTGTATAGAATATTATTTCCAAAAAATAATGTAATTTAGGAATGGTACCTAATACCTATATAATTGTACAGGAATAAGTATTTTTTTGAACTTGAATTTACTATTTACTGAAATCGCACAAACCAGGATAATAAAGACAGTAAAATAAATTACAAGAAGTTTTGAGTTCTCAGGATTCAGATATAAGAATCTCGGCGAGTATCTGTGAACTGGCGTATCTATTATCTGTTACGGCTGTGATCCGTGTTTATCACATAAACCATATACCACGGAACATAGGTATGCTTATATCACGATTTAAGATAGTACTATCTTTAATCGTGTTCAAAACATTTTTGGAACAAGATATCATTGGAACAAATGTTTTGTGGAACTACAGTTATTGTCCCGTTTATTTATCAGTTTATTTATCACCCATGCTCTTGGACTCCGGAGGCCGGATTAATTTTGATATACCTGTATCTAATAAATTATTAATTAATATTTATTTATTTATTAACTAATATAACGTAGGAAATAAAGTGTATTATTTGAGTAGCTTATACAATTTACACGCAATCGTTGAAATTTGCTACATAGTAGTTACTTAAAATAACTGTTAATTAGCATACAACCTACGTATGAAAATATGTGTTTGGCTATTGTGTAAAAACTGTACTTAAAGTCGACAGCCAAGTCTATTGTCAAGAGGATTATTTAGTTGCGGTATAGGTATCCAGTTTTGAAAATATAATCCTTTAAAATGTTAAATAACTACAGGTATGTTGCATTATTTCTTTGAAGTTATGAATTTATGATATTTGTTGTACTAATTACAATATATTTTAATATTATGTATAATACTTTACGGTCTTTATTTCATTTACTAGGACTGCATTTTTAAGAAAATCTAATGAATCTATTCAACTATTTCGACTATCAACTAATACTTCGGAAAAATCTTCAAGCAGTGGAATTAAAATTGATATACCAAAATATATAAATCGAAGTTCGACTGACATACTAAAAGTAAATATTTTTAATTTTGGCTTGGGTATGTCGAGTACCCAAATACCTAAGTATTTAATGACTAATGAAAAATATTAAAAAATTAATTAAAAAAATTTAAATTTCGGTAATTAATTAGGCAATCTCTAGTACTATTCAACGAGATCCAACTGCTGCTCACTATAAATACCACGATGACCCATATTTAATTCCAGTTTCAAATTTTCAAAAAAGAGCTTATGCCTTAAGTCAAGAATCTGGTAGAAAAGCAGCACATTGGATTCTCAATCAACATCCTGAATTGTTTAATCATAAAGTAGCATTTCCGCCTATTGAGGTACAATTAATAATAAATATTTAAATTGTTTTAATATGAATCAGTAATTTTATGTTAACTTAGGTTTTTTAAAATATTAATTATATATTAGTACTCATAACAATATTCAAAAAATATTGTGCCGCAGAATATTTAAGTGAAAGATTACAATTTAAAAAAAAAATTTGAAAAGGCTTTATTATTTACAAATGCTTAAATTATTGTTCTGTAACAAAAAAAGAACCAAAATTAAATTACTTACATTCTTCATAAATTAACACTGATTCAAATTAAAAAAAAATTGCTGAATTGTACAAGAAATATAAATTATTTTACTGTTATTTACTTTAGAAATTTTGCCCCAAAGTTGTGTATGATGAAAATTCTGAGCTACATGAGAATGAATTAAAATTAATAATTGAAAAAGCTATTGTGTCAGATGCTATAACTGTTTATAACCTGTTAAGAAAAAAAGACATAGGTAATTTTTTTAATATTCTCATATACCTATTTATATTTTATAACAAAATATTTTGATTTTAATGTCTATGATCATTAGAAATAAGTTCAGATACACAACAATCACTTTTGGAGTTGGTATGTTTTTACAATAATCAAGATGATCTAGAAGAAGACTGGATTGAAGAACGTTGGTATACACAAGCAAATAAAGACCGAGAAGAATATAGAAATACTTGGAAGTATGTATTTACAATGAACATAATAACTTATACAGACTTGCAGTATATTAATTAAACATGTTATTGCACATTTTAATAACCATATTATTTTATTTTAAAACAATAATTTCAGATCTAATGGATTTGCAATGAGTCTTTTTTCAGCTATTAAATCCCCTAATTCTCACCATTATTCAATAATCATACAAGGGATGGCAAAATATAATCAGGTTAAATACGTTCTCTTATTATTTTTAGTTATAGAATTTTAGTACTAATTTTAAAATTATTTATAATGTTTATTGGTTAAAACATTTTTAATTATTGTGTATTTTACTTACATTTAGTTCGAAGAAGCATATAATTTATTCAAAGAAGCTAATGAAAAAGGAATTATTTTATCTACCAATGCATATAATTCAGCTATAAAAACCGCTGTTTATGTCAAAGAAGGGGCAGATCATAAGTGGCTCCATATACAAGTAGATACATATTATTTTTCTTTAACTAGACTGTCATAAAAGGGTTCAGAATTCAAGTAAATTGCATAGGCGTACATTTGGTTGAAACTAGGGGGGGGAATATAAATTAACACGTATTAACATAATTTATTATACTTACTAGGTCAAATTAGGAAACACATTAAGAGCCTAGGAGTTTTTTGGAGGTCTAAGTCTCTCACCAATTTATGCCTATGATCAATTGTAAAATATGTTGTAATTTAAATTTAAATATCCTACTATATTCCCACATCTGACACAGTTAGATATCTAGGACTTAACTTGGAAAAACGCCTCACTTGGAATAGCCATATCCGTATAAAGAGACTTGCCTTAAACGCCAGACTCCGCAGGCTCCAAACTCTACTCACAAATAATAAACACTCCAGTTTAAATATTAAAGTTTGTATGTATAGTATAGTATTGTAAATATGATCTTTATTATTGATTTGTATTAATTTGTTTGTCTGCATTTGTAATGTATTCGTTATAATGGATAAAATAAAATTTTTTTTATTGTAAATGTATATTAAACAACTTAATCAACTGAAAAGACCGAGATGTAACTAACGAAGTAATATTCACTAATATTATTTTTTGAGGCTTAGGTGATTAAATCAGTAGAAACTGTTATTGTATTTATTTTATTATCTAAAGATGAAATACATTTTTTAAATGTATTGGTAATACGCAATGTATATGTAATTATATTATATACATTTTATTGTGGTTGTGAGAATTGAGGTCCACCGGTTTATTTTGCCATGAGCCTTTTAAATTCTTTTTACGCCCATATTATTTAGAAAGTTGACTGTTTTATCAAAAAAAACTTTAGTTTTAGGTTATTATTTTAATTGCTTGCATATTAATACAATATTGCATGTTCAGTTTTTAAAAAAAATTATTTTCAGTTTTATTACAGTTATAATAATTATGATAACCATGCAAGTGTTTTCTTTACACTTTAATTATTATAGAATATACTGTTATTTTTTTCAGGAAATATTAACTCAAATGAGTGATTCAGGTGTACCTATGAATTTAGGAACTTTAAATTCAATTCTTAATGTTTTAACTACTATGGCGACAAATTCTGAATCAAAAAAATATGCATTAAAAACAATTGCTGAAGCCAAACAATTTGATATTGAACCATGTTTAGCATCATACTATTATTTATTACAAATATTTTGTGCAGACAGTATGTTAAAAATGTTAATCAATGCCTATTGTAATTAGATATTTTATTGTAAAAAATGTTGTTCCAGGAAAAAACAAGAGCACTATTCTTGTCGATATTTTAAATCTTATCGAAGAAAAGTCATTAAGTATTAAAGACTTGGCTGACACAAATTTTTTTACGGCTGCTATGGAAAATTGTCGGTACCATTTACAAAATGTTGAAGTTGCACTCAGACTTCACTCTATTTTACTAAAGAAAAAAAATTATAATTTAATTGGAGATTCATATAAAGAATCAGTTTATTAGTAAATATACATTTTTTTTCTTTTAAAATGCCATTTCTTTTTCTTAAGTAATTAGTAGGGTTTGGATTAAAGTTTGGGAAACCAATGATAGACTCATATTGTGTTGCCCTTTTCCCCTGAAATTTTTTTTCGCATTTTTCTGTTTTTGAATATTCTATTTATCACAATAGTTCTATATGTATTTGCTGTTAAAACAGAAATAGCTTGTAATGGCGACATGTTATCGATAATATGTTCAACATAATGTATTTTAAAAAAAACCACAATGCACGTGTCATAACTTCAATGGAAATTAAATGATCGTCACTCACTATGTACCAGAAATAAGAATATTAGAATTATTGGAATATTGAGTTTAAACCATTGTTTCTCTGAAGACATTTTATTAAATTATATTTCTATATATTTATTTTTCTATACAATAATTAATTTGTGAAAATATGCTTTTTTATTTATGTTGCCTAAAATTTGAACCCTAATAATTAGTATAAGATGTTTGATTATAATTTACTTACCTATCTACATGTGTTTTTAGTCGGCATTTGTTTGCAATATTATGCCAAAATGAATCTGTTGAATTCTTAATGAAGTATTACAATGATTTGGTCCCACACATATATATACCGGAACCAGCAATCACTGAGGTAACACTTTAATATAGACCCAATAATTTTTATCATACTATTGTTATTTTCAATTCAAAGTGTAATTTTCAGAACAAATTTATAGAAATAAAATATGACAAACATTTTTTACACTATCATCATATATTCTGTTTCATATAAGAGGGATCAGCAACAGGTTATGCCTATTTCAATCAGACCACATCCTTCAATAAATCATTTTTTATCATCAGCTTTCATTTAAAACTATTGGCTGTGACAATAAATTGCTAATCATAATAAAATGCAAACTATACTCTATTTCAAGTAAAAATTCAGACCCAACCACGTTTTCAGATACCCGATCTTCGTAAAATATGTTTAGATTTTTAAGTTTTGAAATATTTTCGTTGTATACCACAATACAATACAAATATTTTTTAATAACACCTATTTAACAAAGTATTTTATTTTGATTTAAATTCTAAGGATCGTAATTTTATACGGGAGTATGAAAAAATATAGGGATGGTCCAGACCCTATTCCCCCCCTCCTGTATAAGTGCCTGGTAGTTAGAATAATAAAGTGAAGTTTGCACTCTCCATGCGTTGGCTATACATTAGCTGCTACCTAAGATTAAGTATAGTATTTTATAAGTATAACATTTTAATACTTTTAAAATATTACATTTTTGATTGCAGTTGATTGTGAAAACTATAAATGTTGCTGCTGCAGTTGAATTGTACCCAAAAATTTGGTCAGACATTTTAATGTTTGATCAAGCAGATAGAGAACCAATTATAACAGAGTTGATTAATGGTATGGCTCAAAATTTGTTCCCAAGTTTTGAACAACCTATTAAAGAAAAATTAAGTTCATTATCTGGTACAATTTATGATGCTATTGAAGAACGAAAAGAAACTGGGAAAATAAAAATGTCGTAAGTATAACAGACTGACTGTAGTTTACAGTGTAAACTATGAGCTCCAGAATTACCAAACCGTTTGAAATTGTTAATTGCATTTTTAACTAATTTTTAAATATTTAAAAAAATATATTTGTCTGATTGTCTACTTATTAAGTATACCTTGTTTATTTTAGATGGACCGGTTCTATGTTGGGAAATTTGATAAACGTCTGTTTGTTTGGAGATAATATTGATAAGGCAACTGAAATTATTGTGAAACTGCATAAAAATCAAAATGAAATCATTGGGGTTCCAGATAGTCATACAATTGCTACATTTGTAGACTATTGCATTGAAAATAACTGTTTTAATGAGTTATTAGTAAGTAAAACGAAAAGAAAATAGTTAAGTGTTGGTGTTAGATATAGTTTTAATATCAGGAGACCTGTAGAAGGCAGGAACTGAAATCAGTTCCCTATGGACACTTTGAAACTGATTATTTAAGCAATTTTGAATTTATTTCAAAATATTGTTGCAGTTATCTGTCAATAAAAATTGCATTCCAGGGCCCATCATAGTTTTTGTTTATTACTTCAAATTTAATGCTCAAAATATTATTGTTTAAAAGAAATTATTATTCCAATATTATCAAATCACAAAAAGTTCTCTTTCATTTTAATAATAGGTGCTTCCTTTCCTAAACTCGTTCAATCTAGGTTTTGAATGCGAATTCATGTACTGGTTTGACATGTTCCTGATATCCAATGTTTTTTTTTAATTTTAAATGTTCCTAATGTATAATTCAAATAACTATTTTTAAATGTTCCTAATGTATAATTCAAATAACTATTTTCAAAAGCACTGTTGTAAAACTTGTAAGTGGTACAGAAATTATAAAAACCATTTAACTAACTAAAAATAAATGGAAATTTCTAACCAAAATTGAAAAAAATTGATATTATGTTGTTACATTCATTACGGTGATAACTAAAATTATCTTGTTATATTTATTTAATATTGTTTATACGATTTGTTTGATTATTATTTTGTATTTATTTTAGAAATGCATTGAATACTCTTTAGACGTCAACTATATTGAACTAGATGATTTAATTTCAAAAATTGTGACAAAAATGACTTTATCACCAATGCAGCGTGCACATTTGTCAAAATTGGTTGGAACTGAACATTACGTTGAAATTGAAAATAAAATTGAACTTGTTAGTTAGGTTTGTTTTTATTTTAAAATTAAACTTTAGTAATATATTATGTACAATGATTTTTTACTTCTTTATTATTTTATGTTTCTGATGAATATACTTTGTACTAATAAATAATATTATAACATGTTAGAGTTGTACAGCATGCAAAATACATATAAACAAACATTTTACTTAGTTTTTTTAAAACATTAAAAATTTGTTCCTTTTAAATTTTTTTTTAATATGTATTAATTTTAATAGTAATGTAAACACTGCAGATAAAAATCTGCCTACACATAAACTTATAAGGTTTATCAACAAAATATTTATAATCAATTAATCATACATACATATACACATAACAAATTCAAGTAAGATGTCTTTTCTACAATAAAATGTATAAAAAATTAAATTTTTATTCTATGTTATATTAAACAAAATTTAATTTTAAATTATAAACATTTATCATAAATATTTGATGTATTTGATTGGGGTCTTAAAAATACAAAACTGCACTAACAAGTATATTTGATAACAAAAAAAATCCAATAAAAATAATACTAATTTCAGGTTAAATGGAAAGTTGATTCAAATAAAAAAACAAAACCTTTAATATATTTTATAATAATTTTAATGAAATGAAATAATAAATAAATATACTTATAATTAGAACTTAAGCTACTCAATATTTTTGACATCAATAGATTTTGTTGGTTGTGTTTCAATTTTAGAATTATTACTTTCATCTGAAGTAGTATATGGAGTCACTCTGGTGGGCGCAGCCATACCTTCGTCAATAAGTTTCTGTCTTTCTCGTAGCATTGAAGCTTTCATATTACTCATTTGATGATAATAACAAAGTTTACACATAGTGCAAACGGTCAAACCGACCCAGCAAGACCATGAAGCCCATATTCCAAACTATAAAAATGTAATTATGAAAGTATTAAGAATATAGGTACCAAGTATTGTATTCATTTGTTTTGACCCAGTTAATACTATTTAGACTTGTATGTTTAGTCTAACATACCTAATTCAGCTTTGCATATTATAACAAAAGTTAACCAAGCCTCAGTACTATAGGTCTGTAGTTAATTTATCATATAATTGTTTTTCACTTGATAAATGAGAAAATTCATATGAAGTTTCAACAAATTGTAGAAGATTACCTGAGCTACTCCAAGTTGAAAGTAAAAACCAGATGTATCAATTCCATCTTGAATATCAATAGGATTTCCAGCAGCCATTTCACACCTTTAATATATGTATACGATTTTTATTAGTATATTTATAAATATATTACACAATTTATTAGGTTAAAAATAACTAAACTAAAATCGATAAAATATAGTCATCAAACTGAAAATTAATTGATTAAATAAAATACCTGAGGACATTTTCTATCATGTTTTTTTTTTACGCTTTTAAACATTTTTTTATTTACCATTTTTTAATTATCATTAAATGGTATTTTATTTTGATTGTATTATTAATTATAAATGTTAAATTCCATTGAGTATTAACAAATAAACTTATAAAAACAGTATAGCATTGATTATAAATACATTTTATAATTATAATAATTATAGTACTATAATCAATGAGTATAGCATATATTATTTATTTATTTATTTATTTAAAATAACAAACGTCATTCAGCTTTTGTTTACAGTTGACACAAAAACACATTTTACATAGAACTTTAATTTTATACAAAAATATTATGATTAGCTAGAGACATGACTTTCCTTAGATCAGCCTCTAGGTAATATGTTTTCATTGTAGACATTTGGAATTGTTCCCAAGCTCTTATACCTGGATTTTTGAATCCAATTTTAGATAGTAACATAGGTCATCAATTCACAACTGACCATTAAAAGTTTACCGCCACCATATTTTCTACAACTCAAATGTTGGTATTCTAAGTGATTAAGTACATTAATGACAATGGTCATGTGATTTGTGGTTATTTTCATATATCTAGCAATTATTCCAAGAAAACAGTCTTCTACACTTTCAATTTGTAATTTAACTTGAGTTGAACTTGAGGATCGCACAACAGACCAATATTGATTGAACTAAGGACTAATATCAGGTTAAAAGACATTTACCAGATATCATCAACCCAGCATAACACATGATAAATCAAAGTATTCATAGAGCTTTCCCTACTATATAATCAATGTGGGTCCAGAGAGTAATATTGGGAGTATATAGGGTGATTAACCAAACATGACACCATCATTTTTCATTTAATAATGAATTTATTCAAATTCTTGTTTTTGGAATTATTAAATATACACTGTTTAGAGACAATATTTTCAAATTCTTGACATTTTTCATCCTGTGGCAATACAAACTTCTGTTTTTCAAATAAGAAATCCCTTTTTTTACTTTTAATTATTTAGTGAATAATATTTTTAAAAATGTTTATGTACCAATTATTTCAATTATTAAAATATTATTTATATTAAAGATAATAGTCTTTAAAAATGGTTTATCAAAAATATGAAATACATGTAATATCGGATCTAGTACTTTGTATTTATTAATTTATTATACAAGCCCCAATTTTAGATATTATAAATATAGATGGATTAATATAAATAATAAATTACTAATAAATTCCATGCCTTCTAAACCCATTAGTATTGACCTATTATCTTTAGAACACAAAATTAAATAACTCGCCAACTACTCACTTGAATTTTGTTTTTAATATGTCAACATTTCCATAAAATTATTCACTAAAAAATAAAAAATAATTTACAGTATAAAAGGGGGTGGTTGTCATTTGAAAAACAAAAGTTTGTATCTCCACAAGACTTTCCTTAAATAATACAAAGATTTGAAATAAATAAATTTGAAATATATTTCAAAATTTCAAAAATCAGATTTTGAATAACTGCATTAGTCAAAAAAAAAAAGGAGTTTACAATGCTTGATGGGTCACCATGTATATAAATCTTAAGTACACAACCTGATCAACATGCTCTATGCTATCATTTCCAATATGGAAAACATGTTTAGTTTTGGTTCTGTGTTTATTCTAATGACTGACATTACTTTGCATTTGTGAATCGCTAAATCAAGGCCGATTACATTACATCAGAATAGATACTAACATCAGAATATATTTGGTGATTTTGCAACTTAGTACAGTCTGAAATAGATTTTAAACATAGAAGTAATGTAAACAATTGAATATTAATGTTATTATTGAATATTACAATCAAGAGCTAAGCACAAATAATTTTTTTAATTATTGAATAATATCAGTTTAAGCCTACAGCTTTCTTTAGTGAACACCCAAAGAAACCGTGAATTTCTCTGAATTATGACCAAAAAGAGATAAAAACTGTTAGCTATCATCAATAAGGTATATACAATTAAAATATAGTACAACGATATTAATGGTATTAAAATGATATTAAAGGAACAACTATATTAATGGTAATCGATCAAAAAGTCCACTTTGCAAAAGTTAAACAAGAAGTCCGGTTCCATTTTTTTATTGTTGGATAAAAAAAAAGTTAAAAAATATAAAATATTCGACTAAATTTAAATTTATAATTATAAGATTTATTATATAGGTGTACATTATAACTATGTATATAATTAATATTAATTTAAAAAATGTAATTAATTTTAATATTCTAATAATTAATTATGTTTATATTAATAATATTTTGTTGGATTTTGTCATTGACTATATATAAACATACATTTATTTAAAAGTGTAATACCCCTATTACATTTCTATGTTATGGAAACTGTATACCTTATAACTTTAAAAAAGTTAGCTTTACAAATATTATATTTCCATACACAAATTTAAAAAAATAAAAACATCGAACACTACAGTAGATTTAATAGAATATTTTGAATTTTTGGACTTATTGTTCAACTTTTTACAAAATGGATTTATTGTTAGGGATTTATTATCAACAGTAAATAATAAATATTATAAACGCCCAAATTGTAAAAACAAGTCAATTATATGTACATTCATTCCTCATAACATTTTTCCAGTCAGTATGAGAAAGGCTGTTAATAAATCAACTTAAAAACATTGTAATTTGTAAATATATCATTGATTTATATAATATTAATAATATAAAAATAACTTACGATGGAAATCTTTCAATCATGTCATTACACCAAGTCATAAATCCAAATGTTATCATTAGAGCAGCATTGATTGTAAAAATACACATAAGTACACATGTAATGGCATCAATAAATGTCAATAAAAATGAACTGAAAAGTACATATTATGCAAATAAATTGTTGGTACATTATTTAAATTTTTGTTTATAAGGTATAGGTATAGGTATCCTTTACAAACTACTTTATTTTTTGTTAAACATTGTGTTTCAATTAAAAAAGCAAGAACGAAGAGCTAAATTGTATTTCACTATTGTTCTCAAAATCAAAAAACTAATTGATTTTTAAAAAAATGCAATAGTGAAACATTTGTTCTAATAAAAGATATGCACAAATGTACAGTCAAATAAAAAATAATATTTAGGTAATTGTATGTTAAAAAACAATATACAACCATATCTAGAAAAATGCGAAGATTACAAACCTGTCAGTTCCTTTATAAGCAAAAATTGACATCCTATAGGTCTGTATTGATGATATCACTAACAGCAAAACTCCAACAAAAATTGAATAGTTACAATAAGCTTGAGATGCCCAATTAACTAAAAATTGACCATTCTTCTCAAGCCATTGACCAGAAGAGAACAAAAGACAATGTCCTCTGTAAAGTTAAAAATTTGTAATGTTAATAGGTGAATATTAAGTACTACATAGGTTTTGAACAAATTACTTAAATTCATCTTGATGAAGACTCATTGGTATAATGATGCATAGTGAAAGTATTGCTGCTATGGTATAACCAGCTACTTGACTCAATAATAATTTATTTGTGAGTGCCATTGGTTTTCAATTGTAACTATCCAAACTCAAACAAACATGAATACCTACGTGTAATTGAGTAATGAGAAGGTTAAAAATAAAGTATATCATTAAATTGAAATTATATTCATTGTTTTCAATAAAACAAAAATTTAACTCTTAACAATGAATATTGACAACATTCAAGACTTAGGTAAATCAAAAACAACTTATTTACAACATTTACTATTTATCGTTTAGTAATAATAACAATAATATGTTGTTCTTATTGTTTATTTATTCCCTATGTTATCTCTTATCTGTTTTCTATGCCATTATCTAATTTGTAATTTTTATCAATTTTCATTTTGTCAGTGATAACCACAATCAAAGTTATTTAAATATATATGTATAAAGTGTATAATTCGGGCATTGCTCGACATATTTGAGCAAAGCTGAATCTGCTTTTAATTTGGGTACATTGCCTGGTCATTGATATACAATAGCCGGAAATTGTGTACAGTGCTCAAGTGGACCCCACACCTGCATGTGTTGTTTCGGTCTTACAAACGCTTAACATACCAAATTTACGCTCAGTAGTTCACTTTTTATGCCGTTAGCTTAATAATTAGAGTAAATCGACGTGTTATGAAACTTGATGGTTAGGACTTTATCTGTGTTTTGTTAAAAGTGTTTTTACGATACTTCAGTTTTTAAGCGAGGTACGCTTGTTTAATAAATGTAAATCAAAAATGCTCATAACTCACTTAAAAACTGAATTTTTGTAAAAAAACTTCCAACAAAACACAGATAAAGTTCTCACCATCTGCCCCTGGTCCGGACGGCATCACCAGCCATATTCTCGCAGCCTTGCACAAAGACAATCCCCTCGCCCTGGTAGAAGTGTTTAACAACTGCATCCGATGCAGAAACCTTTCCGTCCGAGTGGAAAACATCCAGAGTAGTGCTTCTGAGGAAAGTCAATAAGTCAGAAGGAGTACCGCCATCCTACAGACTAATATGTTTGCTTAACGGCGCTTTAAAGCTGTTGGAATCCCTCCTCACGTGAAGACTGAAAGATTTCATAACGAGCAATGGTAGCCTCTCTCCAAACAATTTCGGGTTCAGAAGGTGTCAATCGACGATGCGATCCGCCAGATGCACAACACCGTCAACACCATAGTACATGAGGTCAACAGTGGTAAATTCTGCCTGGCAATTGGGATCTACATTAAAAACGCTTTCAACTCCATAAAGTGGAAACACATTCTGGCTGCGTTGGAAAGATGGGGTGTCCCACCATATCTATTCCGAATATTTTGTTCATATTTCTCCGCCAAATTCAGAACTACACCAGCTCACGGTCCCCAGAACAGAGGTTTGGACTTTGAAATCACTGAAAGAGTTCCTCAAGGCTCCGTCGTAGGTCCGTTACTCTGGAACGTGACATTCGACCCGGTGCTTTAAGGAGCACTCTCCGGTAGCGCTTAAGTCCTGGGCTTCGTGGACGATACGCTTATCCTAACATCAGCAAAAACAGTGAGCGAACTGGAGAACGTAGCCAACAACAGGGCGTTGTATGCCTTGGCTGAGGTCGAAGAGCGGATATACAGCCTTGGTCTCGAGATAGCTACCAGCAAGACCGCAGCAGTCATGTTCACGTCCAGGTACAAGTCTGAGTCACCGGGAGCTAAGGCTGCGCGGCGACCTCATTAACTTATCACCGAAAATGATGTACCTAGATGTGACCATTGATAAGTCACGGCTTTTCAAGAGTTACGTTCATAAAGCCTCCGCCATAGCGGGAAAAATTGGGTCTCAGCTCGCAAGACTCATGCCCAACATCGGAGGTCCATGAGAAGACAGGAGGCGGCTCTTGCCCTCCTTCGTGCACTCCGTGATGCTATACGAGGTCACATTATGGACCTGTTGCCCAGAAACGAGAGGAACCTCAACAAAGTCCAACGGAAGGTCCTTCTACGCCGAATCTGCGCCTATCGCACGGTGTCAAAAGCGGCAACTAACGTCAAGCATCAACCCCTCCAGCCGACCGACCTGCTTGCCAAGGAGCGCAAGACAGAATTCCAAATAAAGGTTCGCCGCTGACACTCCGTTAAGCCCAGCACAACTGGTCGCAAATGGCAAGAGAGATGGGATAACGAGGTGTCGGGACGCTGGACGAGGCGGCTCGTCCCTAATGTGATGCTGAGGTACGACAGGAAATTCGGTAAGATTAACTTCCACCTCACCCAATATTCTTCACCGGACACTGCTGTTTCAGACAAAATCTCCACCGAATAAAGAAGCTCGAAACTTAGGAATGTATCGACTGTTCGGCACCCGTCGACGACGCCGAGCACGAACTTTAAATGCTTAAAAAAAAATATTAAGCCCATATATTTAAAATATTTTTTTAACTGCTAGTTTAACAAATATCAAGAGTCTTGTATAAAATTGTCATACTTTTTGATTCAACCAATACAATTTTATTGACATTAATTAGGTATAGAAAAAAAAAACGAAAAAAGGAAAATTGAAAATGTCCGTTAACAGCTTAATACAAGTCAAAATATTTTGAAAATGTTATCATATGTATGAATTGACGTAATAAACATATCGTGTAAATCAAGTGTCTACGGTTATTCGTTTTTAAATTACAACAAAATAAGAAAATCGCTACGTAAGAAATCGAGTGAATATTCAATGTTGTAAAAATTAAAAATTTCAACTTCAAACGCTCATAAAAATAATTTGGCTTTCCGGTAGAAATTTTTTTTTCATAAAACTAGGCAAACTTGTAAGAAATCTTGTACTAAATTTTTAAATCTTAGATATAAGAAGAAACATTTTTTTGAATTTCTAACTTAAAATAATTTGCGTGATTTTTTTCCAATTTTGTCAAGATTCTAAATTCCAACGTGAACTTCTTTTGGATGCAACTTGCTGTGGTAGATCATGGATTTCACGTGGTACGTACTAAGTGTAAAAAAATTAATTATACAAATAATTACTTTCATTGATACTTTATTTTATTATGCAGTGTAAAAATAATTTTATTTTTAAGATTTTAATTTAAATATTTAAAAAAATTAAAATTGAATGTCTTAATGATTTTATTTAGAACAATTTGTTTTTCATTACATATTATTATTGTTTGGAAGACCATTTTTTAACTAATTTTTTATTTGTTTATATTTTTTAATGATGGGAAATAAAAAAGATTCTAAATTCAAATGTTGATAAAAAATTATTGTTGATTAAAGATCTATTTTTTTTTTAATTTTCACCAACAAAAATTTACGAAGAACCTTGTTTAACATTTTCAAGTTTTTTGACCGAGCGAAAATTTATATTGACACTAATTTAAAAAAACAGATAATAATCGACAATTTCTTATGCCTATAAATAGTTCAACACAAGTAAAAATATTTTGAAAATGTTATGGTGTATAGAAAATGCTAACACAAACATTCATTGAATATTTCAGATGTGTCTGTGGTCATTTTTGTTAAAGTTACACTAAAAACCAAAACCGATATCTTCAAAAACTAGTTTTGCGTAAAAATTCCAGTTTTTCCTTAATTTTCTGTTTGTTTTCCTGTCGCTTTGTACCAACTAGACTCACTTTTCTACCAGAAAAGTCGCCATTGAAGAAAATCGAAGCACTTCAAATTGCCCCAAACCGTGATGACAGAAACAAAAATTCAAAAATTTAAATAAAAAACACACGTCATTGTAAAATCAATATATTCATCACTCAGTCGATAATCTAAAATGAGTTGATGGGCTAGAATTTATATAGAGTCAAAAAATGTATAACATGAAAGAAACTTATTGTGAAAGCAAAAACCTAAATTGAAAGAGGTGCACGTACTCTTTTATGTAAAAACGTAAAATGAATTAAAATAATGTTTAATTTAAAATTATACATTTTTTGTGATAAAGAAATCATTAATTAGTGTTGGCTGTATTTAAGTTATTAATAATTACTAGTAGTAAGTACTGGTACAATGTTAGCCGACTGACTTTAAGGCAGTGGTTAAAAATAATGGTAACTAGTTATAGGTTCTAATTTCCTATGCCTTGGTAATATTTAAATATTTTCTTTCGTTATTATGTTTATAAAATATCGAATACCTTAGTTAGTAGGAAAAGATCATTGAAAAGCACACAACCAGAAATGATAGTCTGTACTATCATCACCAGAGCTTCAATCAACCATATTGCCCATAGATTTACTAATAGTATTATGACTTATATAACACTCTGTTGGTCGCGCAGTGGCTTAGCCAGGGTTATGAAATGGGAGGAGCAGAGGAGGCAGGGTTTAAACACCTAAACCCTGACGGCAGGGCTGGCTACGCCACTGGATGTATATATCTGTATCAATCGGAATGATGGCAGAACAATAAATAGTATTGGGGCAATGCGCGACTAACGGAGGGTTAACTAAGACATTTTGAATAAGAAGATCCTGAGTTATTAGTTTCCTATTTTAGTGTTTGTTTATCAAGTTGAACTTTTGATTATTATACAATGTGAAGCAACTTGAAGCACATAATTTATTAAGGAAGACGAATGACGATAGAGACTTGTCGACCCTAATATGTATACTTCAAGTTACCAGACATTGCTCCATTCATAGTATATGATGTAAGGTTACTACATTAACTGTAATCTAAACTTAAAAAGTTGGTGACTAGTATTAATAATTTATTAAAATGTGTCAGCTACGTCTTACAAGTGAGTATCAATTTCCACAGATCTTATTTACCATTGATAAATCTAATTTTAGAGTGATTGTTAATATTTGAAACGAATGAAGCTTAATTATATTGATCTCCTCAATATTGAGGTTAAGGGTTTTTTGAAGGTAGTATGACAGACTGTTATTAAAACACTATTATCCCTCTCTCTTAAAGCAAATTGATATCCACGTCACTTATTTTAGTTGTCGTAACATTTTAAAATGCTATGCCAGAGTTAAAATATCTGATTACTCTATCAATTCTATCGACAAAAACTAAATTCATTTTGATAAT